TCTACAGGTTTTTTTCCCGGAAAAGGTAGGTAGGTTAGTTGTACCCCTGCAGGACATCACACAAGCGATAAACATCTGGTAATACAGTGCGCCACCATGCGGATGAGGATCACCAGTGGAGAAGTCCCGGAAACCCCGTTCAGCCGTTAAGTTAATATTTAAGGCCCAGCTATATTTAGGGCCCCCGGCAAAAGCCAGGGTGGGGCTTCAAAATAACCCCCCAAAAAGCGTCCCACAGAAGGATGATTTTCCCGGAGAACCCATCTAGGGCAACCATGTGTAGACTGGTCGGCCTTCAACGGAAAACAGGGGCAGATCTTGAATATTTCACGCCATCAAAGGAAGCTTCCATAAATACAGAGCCGACACATGACTCTGTTCTAGGCTTGCCCAAGGAATCGTCCCGTCCTGCACATGACCGCTTAACCTCACATGCTGGGCTGCACCATTTGGAGATCAGCTGGGAGCAGCACGCAGGCTAAGGACTTCGATGACCAAACAAATTAGAGCAATCTTTTTTAGCACCTTAGACACCCTTAACGTGGTCGCACTAGGACTCTTTGTTCGACAGTATCGTTAAAGCATGCACCAAGCTTAGTTTCCCCGATTGGTCCCGACATTCCGACGAGGGGGTCCAATAGAAGAACATCTCACACTTTTCTGTAATACTGTAGGTCATTCGACTGGTGGACACTGGGGTCTTTACACCAATTCAGAGGGACTATCGGTCGTCAGACGTTTGAAGCAATATTTGTCATACAGTAAGATATTAGGCCAGCGGGCTTCACTTATGTTCCAAATTGAGTTTTCGATTTACATTATCACCCAATCGTTGGGTGGGGTTGGGCTGATGAGAACCAACGGATTTCTGGACGCTGTATCTCTGGTCACCAACTCTCAGATCTCCTGCCAGCTCAGATGGGGCCGATAGGGCCCATTATCCGCAGCGAACGACAAGAACATACGGCAGGGCTCTTGCATAAGGCTCCATAAAACTAGCACAGAGCCTACTGTTACCTGAGGTGACGCACGGAGTATATACTTATATCTTTTATCTTTAATTTTTATAATATTCATGGCCAATAATAATAAAATAAACATAACACCACCAGATGTCGATACACAGGAGGATTTCAATAAGCTGCTCTTTGCCGACGATCAGTGCATATTCCACTGTGAAAGTAAACAGCTACAGGACCACATAAACCATTTATACGACAGTAGCTTTAAACATCACATGAAGATCATTTTTGAAAATAAAAATTAAAAAGTCGTGAGAATAAGTAGACAGTAACAAACCATCGACATAAAGATCAAAGATCAAATTCTGAAACAAGTGCACGAATTTAAATACTTGGGAAGCATCTTTACATACAATGGTAAAAAAAAACAGAGAGATAGAAACGAGACTCGAACAAGGCAGCATTGTCACGTACCAGCTTGCTCCAATTTTAAAACACCCTGCTATCCCAATAAATACAAATATATATATATAGACTTGGACATTGACTAAAGAACGCGAGAGAAAACTAACCACCTGTGAGATGAGATGTGTGAAAATGGCTGTGAAGAAAAGCAAAAAAGATCGAGTGAGAAACGACTCGATCACAAGGAACTGTTGGAACAACACCCATCGTCAAATTTATAGAGAAACAAAGAATGAAATTAGTTTGGCCATCGAAAGAGAATAAAACTAACGATGCCAGAAGCAAGAGCATACAGTCTAAAAATCCAAACACCAACATGCAGGGGAAGACCAAGAAGAAGATGGATTCTAGAAGTGACTGACACCTTGAGACTGCATAACATCACGGCATATCAAGCGACCGAGCGCGCCCTGGCTCTGCTGTCGATCGTCCGATGAACTGCGACGCCTAGCAGCATAAGCAGATATTGACAACAGAAGAAGAATAAGCAAATCAAAACTATAAACAGTCGTGGCAATCCAGCTACACAAAATGGCACAATGTAGGCGCAGAGCATATGGTTAATATTGTTGTTTACTCATGACAGCTGCCGCATGGGTCTGGGGGTCACTTTACAGGGTACTGTACCCCGAAAGGTGGTCCCAAATTTAAAAATGCACCTAAAAGGCGCAGACAATTTGTAACGTTGTAGTTTACGTTTCTGAATGAACGGAGTCGTCTTGTAGACTAATTCAATAGTTGAGAGCCCTTCTCCACGCCTTCAGACGTATTGGGCATGCATGGCTAAACCAATCGGCATTTAGTGGGTGATGTGGTCTGCACAACGCCGGCCGCCTTTACTTCCCAGGTACTGCACCTGATACCCACTCAAGTCTGGGTCGAAAACAGTTTTGGTTTGGGGGAAAAGTCCGGCTCCGCCAGGATCCGAACCTTACCATCCATCCACAGGCAAGCGTTTAGCCTCACACCACGGCGACTTCCTTGTAGAATAATTGTTTGTAATAATAAAACAAAAACCGCGACCGGCAGACCACTTGCGACTGTTTATACTTAAAGTAACTTATGTCAGTGATTCCCAAACTGTGCGCTTCGGCACCCCGTTAAGCCGCGATCTTTTCACAGGGGCGCTGCAAAAATATTCGAAGATACAGTTTTTTTTTTTACCTCTTACATACTAATAGTCATACTTTTACTTAGGTTAGGCCGCCGTAGACAATTTTTAATTTTAAAAAAAAGGTGGCCGCTACTAAGAAAAGTTTGGGAAACTCTTATATTGTTTTGTCATGAAACGTTCGATGTCTTTAGGCCGAAGTGCTTAGTCAGATGATGGTTTGGGTTAAGCACTCGATAGTTAGGATACGCCTAACTCTAACCTAATCTAAAGCATCATTCTATGCGTTTATGCTAAGAATTTAGGAGCGCCGAATTTGGGACCGCCGCTTAGTGAGAACAGATTCACTGCTCTCCTCATACTAATGTCGTAAAAGACGAATATGTGGGGTGTCTCTTTCGAAGCCGACGTGCATCTGCCTTAGAAGCGAGAAACCAGCAATCTGCAAACACATAAGCTAGATCTGTAAAACGAATGTACACGCAAAATGCAAGCTCTGGAACAAGACCACAGTTCAGAAGTTGATGAACAAGTAGGGGAGTAGAGAGCTTACCGTCGGCGTTTACAGCCGATGAAGGTGGAGGTAGTCACTGCGGCTTTCCGCTGGCTTGAGAATCAGCTGTGCACACATGCTGTGATTGTAACTGAATCGCAGAGCATGTTAAGAAAGGTGGAGACCGACATGCAGAGTGGCAAGCATCACTACAGAGGTCCCGGATAGTTAGCATCCTTTGGATACTTTCTCTAGGTAATGCCGGTGTTTTGGGAAATGAGCAGGCAGATAGACTGGCCGGTTCCGTACCACTGGTGGTGAAATCATGTATGACATGCTGGATGTTGTGAGGACCCTTTTTGGAACGATTAGACAGTGTCGAGGCACAGATGGGACATTAAAAGGTTTGGGGAAAATGGCGCTGCAAGGAGTTGCAAGGGGATCTAACCAGCGCTCAACACTCATGGAAAAGGCCAGGCGGATATACAATTAGACAGTTACTTGTGCCATCAGAACTGGAACCCTTCGCTTGCTGCTGAAGATGGAGACAAAACGCTTATGGGGGTGTCCCGAGTGCTGTTTTGTCGATTCCTAATTCCTAAAAGTTATGTCGGTTCTCTGTTACAAAATATTCCATTAACAATTATCAGGGGACTGTATTGATTCTTGTTATGGGCATGCATTAAATCGATGTGTCACTCTCTCCCTCTCCCGATTTGTATATATATATATAGTTATGTGTGCTGCACCAGCAAGCAAACGGGTGGCAGGTAATGAGTGTATGTATGTGTATGTGTATGTGTATGTGTGTGTGTGTGTGTGTGTGTTTTTTTTTTTAGTGTAACTACTGCGCGTTTGAGTATGCGTTCTGAATTTTAGTAATACAGTGAGATAGTATTTTGGCTACGGGACACCAGTAGCACACATATATTTTCGTGTAGGGAGTCGGCAGTCCGAAACCCAAGTTCAAGGTGTCTCCTTCGTGCCAAAGAACTGCATGGCTGTTGGGTGAACAGTCTCTAAGGAAGGCAGTCAGGTCGTTGTTGGGGCGACGCTTGCTGGTGGATGTAATGTCCTAAATCCCTTCCCCAGCTAATAGAAGGGTACTGCTAGGGTGACAGTTTATTAACCCTCACATAATGCTTCAGGTCCAAATTAACACTAGGCACTGCCACTGTTTTGAGTCGAGGCAAACATTTTTGCTTCTGCCAGACTGTGGCCGTTGCTTTTTTGCTCCATTTGTAGAATGGAAGTATATAGTTTCATACTCAGCTTCTGAGTTGAGTGCATGGCGTGACACTGTGAGCTGCGGATTTCATTTGGAATGTTTTTCGACTGACCAACGTGGTGGTGTGATTTGTAGATTCAGAAAATGGCGCGATGCCGGTTGTCGCAATCTTGGTGGGGCCATTATTTAATTAAAATTGATCGCGTGTGCAACTGCTGATTTTTGGTGACTTCTGCTACCATCAATGATGAACTGCATTTCTAACGTCAGACTGTTTGTGTGAGCACTTCGGATGGCTACCATATGCATTTAATGCGAGTGTATGCTAGATTTGCTGAGACAGCAGTTTGTCAGTCTTTCCGCAAGGGACTGTGATAAACATTCTGTGTGTTTTTCGTTGGCACAGGAGCGGAGCAAAGATGGGGTGACCCGTTTGCTATGAAGCTGAAATTAAAATTACCAGATTACCAGATGCAAATTATTAATTATGCGCAAAATATAAAGCACCGCCATATTGTCTATAAACAATTAAGAAGAGTCGTTGCTATGACTTTTAAAAAATACATGAAAGTTTATTATTATATTTATAGCTAACATTAAATTATAATCAAGCTATAATATATTGCGGGAAACACAACTAGAATTTAATAAACTAATTTTATATATTTGTCTCCTTAGGATAGGAACGGACAACCAGCAACACACAAACTAATGACGTTTCACGATTCATAAACAGGGAACATGGCCCCCAGAGTTTGCCTGTTATGTTGTCAAGCGGTGAAATGGGGGCCGGTTGTATTCATTGCTTCCATCATTGGCTGGTCGTATTATGCCTATGTCGTGGAAATGTGCATTAGTAAGTTTCTTATATGTACCTGTCATGGTTATAATCTTTGTTATTGGTAAGTCAGAATACTCGAACCTTGGAACCCATAACTTCATTTTAATTTGTGTGGTCGCCCCTCCTCCCCGGGAGAGGGAAATGAGTTATTGACTGTCGTTGTTCTGTGAAACTGTTATCAGAAACGAAATGAAGATCAGAACATACTCTTTCTTTTCTTCTTCTCTTATAACCCAACCCATAATTCATGTGGTGATCTTCAGACTCTTGGTACAGAACATATCAGAGATCATATTGCTCTTTTTTGCCATTATTCATTATGCGTCACATAGGGCTCGCAGTCTACTGTATTCTTCCAGTTTGTTCTATTCTATTCTGTGCAATCCCTTTGAAATTATTATTGAGCAATCCAGTCAAGGATTTGGCTTCTTCCATGAGCCTTCCTTTTAGCAATATTCTATATAGGATTTCACTTAGACATCCTCTGAATCCTTTATTTCCCATTTTATTTCCTGTTTGGTGATTCTGTGATCGTTTCTTCTCAGTATATATCCAGTATAGTGAGGTCTTCTTTGCCCTATAACTGTTGATAATAGCGGTTGTCCAACATGTGCAGAACAGTACAATAAGTCGTGTTCTACTTGCAATAAGCTGTGGTTACACTAGCACTACTCGTCTTCTAGGGGTTGATGTGCCTAGTGGATGATCTTACTCACACTCTAAGATGACATAGTTGCAACAAGTCGACACCGTCTCCAAGATACCATACAGTTTATTGACATCTAAACACTTACATCAATTGTCCCTTCCATTTCCTAATCAACAGCTTTCACGCACCACATTGTTCAGACGCCAACACACTGACTCCTCACACATTCACCAACCAGGGTTCTGCACCTTCAGTTTCACATCTCCGCATAGATGGATCTGGTCATTGCATCAAGCTTCACACAACTGACTTGGCTGGACTTGACCTCGATGGATGTTGTCGTCTGGTCTTCCTCTCGCAACAATCAGTTTCACATTCTCATTCACACAATCACTCTCACGTCCTTTCATTCTGACGGTCAAAACATACTGTCTTGATCAGACTGGGGTCTGAACTATACCCAGCGTTCATTCCACGTGGCAACACGTGGTTGTTCTTGGGTTCTACGTGGCTACCTGTGGTCGTTTTTCTTGGGTTCCCTGTGATAACACGTGGTCATTCCCTACCTTGAAAACCTCGGTTAATCTGAGTATCTGGTTTCTCTCGGTATTCTCTAGGCGACTAAGAGGGGTTGGACATGGGGACCAGCAATCGTACACTGTAAAAAAGGATAACCGCTACAAAGACAAAATCTGCCTTATGTGCCTCTGGGCACGATTAGGATTGATTGACCTCTGAAACATTCATTGCACAGGTGAAAATACAACCAGTAGTGTCAGTTAAGTGTATTATAAACACACATCATTGTATAAATGCCAGCTAAGCAGTATTCTTGGTTCTTGAGGGATTGGACACTACAGGAAATGGTGTGAAATGGTTAAGCCCTGTCCATCCCTTCACCACATTTAGACGCCAGCGAGGACTGTGTGAGGACTGAGGAGGAAAGGCTGTGAGCAGGGTAACTAGTCAGATGCCTGTCTTAACATTATATGCAGTATGTAAAGCCAATGGAAAATCTTTAGTGCAAGACAGCCTAGCATACATCACAACATCTAGCATGAGAATGGAGGCAGAGGTAGTAACTGCAGCTCTCCGGTGGCTAGAGAACAAGATGCATACACATGTGGTAATTGTAACTGATTCTTAAAGCATGCCGAGAAAGGTGAAGACAGGGATGCTTCGAGCAGAGTGGCAAGCTTCTGGGAAGGTCACGGGTAGTGAGCATACGTTTGATCTTTTCTCCACGCTATGCCGGCGTAATTGGCTGGATCTGCACCACTGGTTAGTGAATTGATACATGACAAGGCAGATGTGGTCAAGGCCCTTTATGAACAAGCAACGGAATTAGTAGAGAAACAAGATTATTATGGCCTGGAGAGAATGAGGCACCTGGGTGTAACCAGAGGGTCTGGCCAGCTCACTACACTCAGAGGAAAGGCAAGACGGACATATAACCAGAATGCGACCGTACCCTCCATATTGGAACTCTGCGCTGGCTGCTGAAGGACGGAGCATGCATGGAAATGCCCCGAGTGCTGTGATGTCGATTCTTGACTCGGCTCAACTCAACTCTGTGTAAAGGTCTTATGTATCACATCCAGTTAATAGTATCTTTCATTAGCCTACTTGTATCATTAGTAAATATTTATTATTTTGTATTTCAGATACTGCTGAAACAGCTGAGAAAAGTAAGCATTGTTGAATTGTATTTGTTTTCCCTGTTACTAGCATAAATAGTTTTCGTATGTGTTTAAAAACTGTATTCCAGTCATGTTTACTTATATTGTGTAGATCAATGTTTCCAAGACATGTTTGATCCACCGCCCTATTTTCTATTTTTAAAAAAAAGCAAAGAAATCACTCAGCGCCTCCCTCTCCCTGGAAATATCATAATCATCATCACATGCCATGCAAATAAGCACAGACAGTAATGATTCACCATTATGCGTAATCACAGATCAGTATCATGGATCATATTAGTGCTGTCATCCATAAGTATTACCAATCTCGTCCTGTCTCCAGGTATGTGGTCAAACCATCAAGGTCTCTTATCTGTTTGCCTTTCTTTGCTCTCATTCCATCAGTTTTACCAATCTCGTCCTGTCTCCAGATATGAGCCAAACCATCAAGGTCTCTTATCTGTTTGCCTTTCTTTGCTCTCATTCCATCAATTTTACCGATCTCATTATGTCTCCATGTTTGAGGCCAAACCCATCAAAGTCTCTAATCTGGTTGCCTTTCTTTGCTCTCATTCCATCAATTTTACCGATCTCAGCCTGTCTCCATGCATGAGGCCAAACCCATTAAGGTCTCTAATCTGTTTGCCTTTCTTTTCTCTCATTCCATCAGTTTTACCAATCTCATCCTGTCTCCAGATATGAGGCAAACCATCAAGGTCTCTTATCTGTTTGCCTTTCTTTGCTCTCATTCCATCAATTTTACCGATCTCATTATGTCTCCATGTTTGAGGCCAAACCCATTAAAGTCTCTAATCTGGTTGCCTTTCTTTGCTCTCATTCCATCAATTTTACCGATCTCAGCCTGTCTCCATGCATGAGGCTATACCATCAAGGTCTCTTATCTGTTTTTCTTTGCTCTCATTCCATCAATTTTACCGATCTCATTATGTCTCCATGTTTAAGGCCAAACCCATCAAGGTCTCTAATCTGGTTGCCTTTCTTTGCTCTCATTCCATCAATTTTACCGATCTCAGCCTGTCTCCATGCATGAGGCCAAACCCATCAAGGTCTCTAATCTGTTTGCCTTTCTTTTCTCTCATTCCATCAGTTTTACCAATCTCATCCTGTCTCCAGATATGAGGCAAACCATTAAGGTCTCTTATCTGTTTGCCTTTCTTTGCTCTCATTCCATCAATTTTACCGATCTCAGCCTGTCTCCATGCATGAGGCCAAACCCATCAAGGTCTCTAATCTGTTTGCCTTTCTTTACTCTCATTCCATCAGGTTTACCAATCTCATCCTGTCTCCAGATATGAGGCAAACTATCAAGGTCTCTTATCTGTTTGCCTTTCTTTGCTCTCATTCCATCAGTTTTACCAATCTCATCCTGTCTCCAGATATGAGGCAAACCATTAAGGTCTCTAATCTGTTTGCCTTTCTTTTCTCTCATTCCATCAGTTTTACCAATCTCATCCTGTCTCCAGATATGAGGCAAACCATTAAGGTCTCTTATCTGTTTGCCTTTCTTTGCTCTCATTCCATCAATTTTACCGATCTCATTATGTCTCCATGTTTGAGGCCAAACCCATCAAAGTCTCTAATCTGGTTGCCTTTCTTTGCTCTCATTCCATCAATTTTACCGATCTCAGCCTGTCTCCATGTTTGAGGCCAAACCCATCAAAGTCTCTAATCTGGTTGCCTTTCTTTGCTCTCATTCCATCAATTTTACCGATCTCATTATGTCTCCATGTTTGAGGCCAAACCCATCAAAGTCTCTAATCTGGTTGCCTTTCTTTGCTCTCATTCCATCAATTTTACCGATCTCAGCCTGTCTCCATGCATGAGGCCAAACCCATCAAGGTCTCTAATCTGTTTGCCTTTCTTTACTCTCATTCCATCAGTTTTACCAATCTCATCCTGTCTCCAGATATGAGGCAAACCATTAAGGTCTCTTATCTGTTTGCCTTTCTTTGCTCTCATTCCATCAATTTTACCAATCTAATCCTTGAGTTTGTTCCTTTAATTAAAATATACCTTCGGTAAGTAAATAAGACCGAAAATTTACTTCCTTTTTTTTTCATTGTCCCGTCTTTATTTCTATGTCTGACAACATTGTCGGCATCTGTGGCTTAGGCATTGTGAGCGAGCTTCAAAATGTCGGGGTGCTGGATCCAATCCTAGCTGCAGGGGATTTGGCAGCAGACCGTCTTGCACTGGTTTTGGGAGTGGTACTCAAAGCTGACCGTCTAATGGCAAACTACTGAATGTAAAATTTGCTTAGAAAAACCACAACAGTAAAAAAAAATGCATCGGGTTGGTTCTGCAACATCCTGTTAAGCGCATACACAACTCACTTTTAAAACTAACAACGTAGTCATGCCAGTGGATGAACGAGGAGTTTCTCAGCTCATTCACATGTACTCTTTTCCGTGCCAGCTTCATAAGAAAAAGTCTCTCTCATTAAGCACATCAAGTCTAACCTTTATCTGTGTTCCTGGCGATGCATGTTTTCAAGACAGAGAGTATGCAGATTATCTGGCGGTCAGTGTCCAATTGTGGCTACTCTTGCATTGGTGAGGAATGATGTTACCGGGGCTACACAAGATGCGTATCGTGAAGATGATTGCGGCAACAGGAGGAACTGTATCTCTGTGCAGTTAGGTCGATATTGGGGGGTGCAAGCCGGACCTGTCAGACATGAAACTGTTCTCTGTGAACAAAAGAAGCTTGTGTTTAAGCACAGAACTGGTATGACCAATCATTTTACGCCGGTGAAGCTGCTTTGGAGGAGATTGGAGCACGACTGGATCGGTCCAGAGTGATGTGAAGGTAGCCTTCACTAAACTCAACATTTATAAGAATATTGTAAAAATAAAATGTCTCGAGACTCAAAATTGTACATACATAATCAGTTATAGCAGCTTTCACGTTACATCTAGAAAATTAATATAGGGAAAGCAAGCACACCTTCTTCTTGACTTGCGTCTTATGTAACTTATGACCTTCTGCACTTAGACCACGAAAAATAAATTTAACCAAAACAAAAACAGACAAGTAAAGAAAGATAACGACATGGTAGGATAAAAAAGTTCCCGAAACTGATGCCTCAAGAGTACAAAGATAGATGCCTATCTATAATAAATATACAGACATAAACTGTATTTTTGTGTTTTATGCACAATTTTTATAACATATTTGAAAGAAAATTATGTCAGTAAATATCGATTTATGACCAGTTTGACTTACAACCTCTTAGACAAAACCTAAATTGGTTGTAAGTCTAGAAGACCCTGTATTAAATTTACTTTGTTGATTGATCGTATTTTACAAACAGCCCGGGAGCTACAAGCGACATTAGACGAAGTGACTGAGTGGTGTACAACAATAAGGGCCGTCGTCAATCCGAAAAAGGCGTCTGTTTTGTGGTGTTCTCTGGACAACAGAATCGTTAAAGCTAATGTCCCAAGTCTCACAATAGATAGTAGGAACGTCAACAGAGAGAGCAAACTGAAGTATCTGGGAATTACATTTGACAGGAGCCTGTACTTTAAGGACCATGTGGAGAGTGTTGTGATGAGATGCCAAAAAGGACTTAGTGCACTTAAGATTATTCCTGCAATTGACAGAGCAGAGAATGCTTTTCATACTATAATCAGATCCTGTCAGTGGTTGATTATGGCCTTGGAATGCTCACCGTCTCAAAGAGTCAGATGGACAAACTAGAGCGCATTCAGAACGCGGCTATGCGGGTCATTCTGGGTTGCACCAGAGACACCCCAGTGGTGTGTATGCGATACATCCTTGGTTTGCCGACGGTTGCAGGTAGGCACAAGGTGCTGCAGGCGAAGTCATATCTCAGGGTAGCTGCAGACACAGACCACCCTCTGCATGAAGCTCTGGGTGCAGTTAAGGGTCAGCGGCTGATAAGAGGGAGGTCATGGATGGCTCAGGCAGAAGACACAATCAAACAGGTTTGCATCCTTGAGAACATTAGGCGAGGAAAAGGGTGGGTCAAAGTGCCACCTGAACAGTCAGACTTGTGTAGAGTCATAATCACGCTCAGCCGGGAATGCAGAGACTGGCCAGCAGGTGCCACAGAGGTGGAAATATAGCAATTAATTCAAGATAATGCTCGCTCAGAGGATTTGATCATTTACACAGACGATTCAGTGTCAAGAGGCAAAAGAAGTTCTTGGGGCTTCTTAGCAAAAGTTAATGGTCGACGTTTGGTGCAGGAGAGCCTAGCATATGATACCACAACATCCTTAAGAATGGAGGTGGAGACAGTCACTTTAGCTTTTCGCTGGCTAGAGAACACGACACACACACACACACACATTGTGATTGTAACTGATTCAGAAAGCATGCTGAGGAAGATCAGAACAGGTATGCTTCGTGCAGAGTGGTATGCTTCGCTGCGAAGGACACGGGTGAGGAGTATTGTCTGGATTTTTTCGCCGGGTCACGCCGGTGTGTTGGGAAATGAACAGGCGGACAGACTTCTGGCTCTGCACAACTTGGTGGAATACTGATACATGACAAGGCAGATGTGGTTAGTGCCTTGTGGGAGAGCGTGTACAGTTCGGAGGAGCAGATGGATCACCACAGTCTGGTGAGATTGATGCAGTGGGGAGTGACGTGAGGCTCAGAGGAAAGGCAAGACGGACGTTTAATCAGAATGCTACTGCCACCATTAGTATCAGAGCTCTTTGCTGGCTGCTGAAGATGGGGATGGAGCGCTTGTGGGAATGCCCCGAGTGCTGTAATGTCGGTTCTTCAATAAAATCAGTCATGATCGTATTTTTTGCATCATTCTAGTATGGGTCATAAACGTGTTGGTACCATTGAGCTGAGCACCAGTGCCCTATAGTTTATGTTTGAAGAACACTGGTCTAGGGTGTGGAAAAGCCTTAAACTTCACATTCCAACATTAGTATCAGTTATGGGACTACTTTTAAGTTGAAGCCATTAGTTTAAAAAGGATTGTAATTATGACGTATGGTTATTTTCTATGATTATAGTACTCAGGCATGTTTTTTCTTTTTTTTCAGTTGTCTTCCTGTTACTGTATCATCCAATAGTGATTCTGTTTTTGTGGTCCTATTATCAGACCATATATACCAAGTTTCAGGCTGTTCCAAAAGAGGTAAGCTATGTTTATCATAGCAATAATAATGTTCCATAGTTTTAAACTGGACCCCAAGAGGTTAGAAGAAGAAAATAAGAAGCAGAAGAAAAAAGAAGCATAAGAAGAAAGAAGAGCAGCAAGAAGCAGCAGTAGAAAAAAGAAGAGGCAGAAGAAGAAAGAAGAAGAATGAAAAAGCAGAAGAAATACGAAGCAGACTCAACAAACGTGTATATAATATATTAGGTATAAGACAAACATCTGCAGTTTATTTGTGCTGAACAGATTCTACCACGTATCTTGCAAGTCTGTCCTCTCCTGGAGAAGCTGCAAAGCAACATGTGGCCACACCCAGTAGACCTGACAACTAAGCTTTCGGGAAACTTAGGAGACCTTAAGCTGGATTCCCAGTTTATGGACTCCAGTATATAAAATGCATGACAAGGGATGGCTGAGGAAGAAGAAGAATAAACAAGAAGAAAAACAGTGGAACGTAACTGCTGAACACATATTTGCAAAGAAAGATAGGGGAGCGCAACAATAACAACAGGAGAAGTTTCTTGACAGCCTCTTGTCATGTAATGGACTGGTGTCAGGACATGAACTGATGCCTGGTTTAGAGATCACAAGATTCAGAGATGCATGATCACCTGTGCCGTCAGCAGGTCACTTGTTTCAGCTGTTACAGGTAGCCTTCATCTGTCTGTCTGAAGTACATCAAGTTGAGGGAGGATCGACTTAATTGACCTGGATTATCCTGTATGGCTCTGTCTTTCTCCGCAGGATAGGTAGCCACCTGCCAAGAGGTTGCACAAAGCACAAACTTCATAGTTCCAGTAATGATCCTAAGGGATTTTTGTAAATATTGCACTCATGAACTGAATGACACCTCTTGTGAAATGAACCCTCAACCTTCAGAGCACGAGGCTAATGGCTTTACCGCTTCATAAGGACATAAAAAAGGATATAATGTGCACATAAGTATGTAAAACAAACCCAGGCACATAGGCATTCCACGACTATAGCCCTCATTGTGAAACTTGTCTGTTTTCAGTTTTACTTGAACCAGTCTGAGTGGCAGCGTTTAGAGTCAGAGTCCAATGAGAATATCCAAAAAGATCAGCTGAATAACTTTGCCAGGAAACTACCAATCCAGAACAGAACTATAACAGGGTGTAAGTTGAACTGTTTGTTAGTGGGCATAATAACATGCATAAAAACATGTAACCAGAAGTTAAATGCATTCAAAAACAAGTGCCTCATGGCAGTGATGAACATAGAAGGGGATGAATTTAAGAGGGGTGAAGAAATAAGAGTAATGTCAGGGAAACTACTAGTATCAACAATTTAAAGTCAGAGAAGATGGCACTGTATTAGACACATGCTGAGAAGAATTTAGCAGAGAACCACCAAACAGGTACTAAAATGGGAAATAAGGGATTAAGGAGGTGAGGACGCCCAAAAGAAAACCTAAAACAGACGATGATAGAGGCCCGAAGTGCTGGACTGGATTAAATTCATCATATTGAATTGATTGAACAGGACAGAAGGGAATGCAGGAATAGATTGTGAGTCCTATGTGAAGTATAATGGCACAACAGAACAGTGAATGAATGAATGAAAAATAACATGAGTTCCCTGTGTGGGTTCCGGGGCCCTATTATAGGGAAAACAAGAACAGACCCACTGCATACCCAAAAGCATGTCGTAAGAGTCGACTAATTGGGAGCTTCCTTGGAAGTCCGAGTGCATCTGCCTGAGAGGCAAGGAACCAGCAGTCTGTATACAAATGAGTCATGTCTGTAAAACGGATGCACACACAACACTCAGGTTCTGGAATAGGACTGCAGTCCAGAAGTTGATAAACAACCAGAACAGAGTTTACAGCTCGTGAACACAAAGAAGAAGATAACATGAGTCTTTTTTTTTAATCACTTGCTCCAGTTACTTCATCATAGTGTTGGGGAAGGGAAAAAGGGGTGTGGGATAAGGGTTGTCATGTAAGAACCTATACGTTTCTAATGTTTAACACAAGTTGATCCTAATTTATTTTAGGCTGCTGTTGATGTCATTATTCCTTTCAATTGGGCAGCGGTTGTTATGGTATTCAGTATTGCCGGTAGCCACTTTACGTGTGGGCTGGTGAAATACATTATGTAATAATTCTGCGTGTGTATAGCTAGCTTATCATGATCGACTACTTCCGATGAGGACAAATTGCATTTCTGGTGGCGCATGTTGGCTTTGGCTTCTCTAGCAACTGCTTTATGCATTTAATACGTGTGGATATTTCTGGATTGTGCCCGGACTAATTGTTTGTTCACCAGTTTTTCAAATTGGACAATGAGGGACATTTCATTTGATTTTCACTGGCACAGGAACGAAGCAAGTATGGGGTAACCCAAATTCCAGTGAAGTTGAAGTCTCAACATAGATTTATGAACAACTGCTAATTGATGATATAGTATCAGATTAAACAGCCTATTTAATGATGCTTCAGTTTGAATTGAAGTGTGGTTTAAGCAAGGAGGAAAATATGAGAGATGAACCATATTTGTGTATTAAACAGAGCAGCCATCATCGACACCTGACGACCTTTATTAAAATGGACAAACATCGGTATTCTCAAAGTAATATGTATGCCAGACGTGAACATTGCACAGGCAGCCAGAGAACAATAATAAACCAACAAAGGACTGGTGTTGTGGGTCACCACATTGTGAGGGATATACTAAAGATGGCATCCTATAGCTTATAGACTTGCCCAATGTGTGATGATCAGTTGATTAACTAACTATGAATATGCAGTTACATTGTTATTAGCCACTACGGATCCCATTTCCTTTACTCTTTCATTACCAAGCAGTTGTTACTTTAACTCCTTCTGTCACAAAGAATTAATATTAATCCTGTTGCTGCAAAACTGTCACTTGCTTTAGGGGCCGATTCTCCATAAATGTCACTTTTAAAACTTGTAACCTCTTTACAAGACCTATAGTTAATGCAGTTAGTGTGTTTATGCCTGCGCAAATGTTTATGATGGCAGGAAGTAAATATATTAATTAAAAATAGCATTTAATGGGGGTTTCCCTCCAAACCAGATTGGTTTTTGTCAAATGTTTCCAAAAGCCTAAGTGAAAGAGGTGATAGTGTCATGACATGAGTCACCTGATAAATATACTCCTTCATACAAATAAGCCAGATCTGTCAAATGGATGTGCACACAGAACTCAAGTTCTGCAACAGGACTAAAGTCCAGAAGTGGGTGAACAACCTGAACTCACAGATGGTGAACCCTAAAAAGAAAAAGCAGACATGGTGTAAATCTCCTAACTAAGGTCCGTGTGTCTTTTTCAGTCCCAAGGTACTGTGAAGTATGTAAATGTGTCAAGCCTGACAGGTGCCATCATTGCTCGGTGTGTTCAACGTAAGTATGGTTTTGATCAGTTTCATGATTGGGTGTGACTTGACATTGTGAACTGAACAGACCTACATATTATGTTTGTTCTTCTTCTTTTTCTTCTTCTATGTTTGCTCTGAAAGGGATGGTTGGCATGCTGTGTTGAAGTTTATAGCTAGGCTACAGTAATTGCGCCTTTTGGTCCAACATGTCTCATTTCAGCAAATTCCTGATTAAGCACTTTTTGTGATATGCTTGTTAAACCACTGACTACCACAATTGCATGCTATGTAATCTGCCAACTTTTACCCCAGGCTACTACAAATTAAATTATATACTGCGATCATAACTTTGGACACTCACAGCCATGGAACAATTACGATAAATATAGTTGAAACCATTCATTTCTCTACGGTTGTTTAAGTTAAACAGTTTGGTAGTACTTTTGTACATTTTCTGCAGATTCGCATTTCCGTTGATCTTCTTTCTAAACTTGTGACTTTTTTCATGTATGTTGCAGACTTGTATGTCTTTTGAGTTTTTTTTCTAAATCTGTGATTGCTATTTTTGTATTCACATATAGGTTCTGTCCACAAATATGATTTACAAATCCCTCTCCTCTCTTTTTTTTCCCATTGTCTTTGACTCATAGATTAGTTCTAAAAATATTTATTTCTGAATTTATGTTTTCTTCAAATCCCCAGGTGTGTTCTGAAGATGGATCATCACTGCCCATGGTAAGTCCATTTGTTTCATTGTATTTTTATTGTTGTATCATTATGCAGTCTGTTGGGTTAATTAGGAAAAAAAATAAACTGTTTTGAGGACATGAACCTGTCTCGATGCCAATGTAACCGTGTTTTTGTGTGTGGCTTTTTCACAGAAATTAACTTATTTAACATGGAGATAAAAATAAACACATTGTCATTATCAAGCTGTAGCAGGTCCTTTGCAGAACGCCACAGCGAGCCTGAAAGAAACTTAGTTTCTCGCCAGATTTCCCACTTCGCTCACTTTCCTATCTTTGCTGTCACTTATAATCCTGTACCTGTGTTCGTGAAGGTCGGCCGCTGCCCCTCTTTCTAGGCACCATAACTTCTACTGGCACCACAGCCATGTGGATTGAACACTGACCTGATCTGTGATTTTAGCGATGGTGAATCTTGACAGCCTACGCTCCTCAGCATGGCACATAATGATGATGGTATGAATGGGTAGCCGACTGATGATGATATTAAACATAATGAATTGGTGTGGCTAAAAATCATAAATCTGTTTTGTTTGTTCATTAAAAGTCTTTCTTAATTTTCAGGGTGAACAACTGTGTTGGCTTTCACAACTACAAGTTCTTTGTTCTTTTCCTTGGATACGGCTTGCTCTACTGCGTGTACATAGCATTAACATCACTCAAGTATTTCATCAAGTTCTGGTCGGTAGGTACACATTCTTGGCCCCCCATGGATCTAGATTTATTAATCTGTTGTGCTTGTTGTTGACGCCTTTCCATTTTTCAGAACGGCAGTATTACATTGTGCTATCCCCGTACAGGTTCTGGGGCCCACTGCCTCTCCAGAAAGCATATTGTAGGATTCGACTAACTGGGAGCTTCTTTCATAGTCAAAGTGCATCTGCCTGAGAGGCAGAGAACCAGCGTCTGCATTTCAATAACGGTGAAAGTGAAGAAGAAAAAGAACACTGCTAAAGAGCGGCTGGGGAATCACAGCCCACGGTGACAGCGCGTATGAATACAAGACCTGTTCACATTAAGAAAATTCTTCCACTATTAGAGCATGTAATTTCAGGACCATTGTTGCTATAGTATGTATTTAATGGGCTTCTTCTCAAATGCCCAGCTGTTAACCCTGTTGCCAAAGAAGACTAAATGTAATAACTTCCAATTGTGACACAATCTCGTAAATGCTGATTTATGGCCATATCTGCAGTGACATGTTCTTGAAAATCATGGTGGAGTTCTGTTGATCTTATACACACCAATTCCTGTTTGTTAAATACCCCTTTATTTATCTTTATACATTCTGAATTTTTTTTTCAGTATAAATAAATAAATGTTACAAATATTTATAAGTTAACCTGTGTTATGAGTTAAGTTAGTTGCATAACCTTTACAGTATACTGTAAAACCAACCCCAGCGTTTTTTTTTTTTTTGGGCTATTGTTTCTCTATGCAAGTGTTATGTTCACTAGTCTGCCATTGCTTTCTGGACAGTCAGTTTTTGGCACCACTGTCAAAACCAACGCAAGACAAACCGTTTGCACCTAGGATCGAACCCGGCACCTAAGCATTGTGAAGTGTGTTCGTAACGCCTTAGCCACAGATGCACTTGTGTAATATGGTTGCTGTTTTTTAAGGATTTTTGTTCTCAAGGATTTCCTCGGGTTCATGCCCCATTTCTGATTAGCATTTATGAGCAAAAGGATTGACCTGTCTGCAGTTATTTTTCTCCACAGTCCATAGTCCAGTCTTTATTTCCCCTGGTTTGCTCTGTGTTTACGTGTTGCTTTAATTGTTCTTTGACCCTCTTATTTCTTTGTAGAACTAGCCAGTTTATCATCAGAGACCTTTTTTTTTCTTCACATTGCTTAGCACAGGGCAGACAGTTACCACCGGGAACGTAGCAGTGAAAGGGTTAAATGTAAACCCTACCTGGTTTCAGTTGGTCAGATGTGATCTACAGCCTTTTCACATCCAGGAATAACACAGGAGAGTTCAAATGTCCACAGGAAAAGCACCAGGGGCTGTTAGCTGCTATGCAGGTTTTTAAAAATCTACTGTAACAGGGGCTTAAGGGGTTGGTACTACTGTAAACTTAGAATTAAAGTCGACAGGATAACTTCATTACACCAGGTTTGAACCCATATGGCTCAGTCTCTGTCCGCAGATTGGCTGGCCGCCTGCTGAGAAGCACCACACAAAACACAAACTCTGTAGCTTCGGCGCTGATCCCCAGAGGTCCTCCTAAAAACTTCACTCATAAACTGAATGATGTGTCCATGAAACGAAAACATGACCTTTTATTTTAAAAAAAATGCATTTATCTGCATTAAAAATTAAAAATAAATTATATACAAGCATAAAGGGAGTAATTATTAACAAGAACAGAGTGACATCTTAAGTGGAATACATGTCCTGCAGCCTATAATAATTTGCTTTTGGTGAATCATGTTGTGGTTCTCTGATACTGTGGGAACATTTGACATCAACATGACTTTAAAAATGTGAATGCATAAATTGTACCAGACAGTCAAACAAATAAAAACAAACAGACAAAAGTAAACTTAATAAAAGTGTATTAAAGCTATTTGCTTTACAAGAACCCCTCTCCCAAATGCTATTTTTAGTGAGCATATTCATATTTGGGCTTCCTGTGCAGGCATAAACAGAACCAATGAAATTAAACTACGCTTCTCTACGTCTTGTCATCGTGGACATGTGGTTTCGTGGCATTTACATAAATGCTGGGTTCGGGTGGCTAAAAGGATTAACATGGTTTCAGACAGCATGAATATCTAAATGACCCTATAGTGAGTTGCTTGCCACCAAATGAGTTAATTAAGTGATTGTGTTTTTTTTTTCTTTCTTGCAGGCAAATGGCAGTAGAAGTGTGCAACAGTTCCACATCCTGTTTCTGTTTTTTGTGTCTGTCATGTTCAGCATCAGCCTTGTCACCTTATTTGTCTACCACATTTTCTTGACAGCACACAACCGGTCCACTCTAGGTAGGTTTGCTTGTATTCTCAGTTAGTTAGTTAGTTAGAGTTAGTTAGTTAATTAGTTTAGTTAGTTAGTTGTTTAATCTCTGTACATGTCCATAGGTGCTCAGATTCTACCTTCAGTATGAACCCCAGCGTTCGGTGGCTAATAATATCAGGTCTCTTTTGATAAACATGGCCTCTGATATGCCTGGTATGCGTCTCATTTTTTTATATGCCGATCACAACTCCCAAGTCTATAATTCTGGTGAGTGATGTTGATTCACTGCCCCTAAAGACCTCCACCCTTCCCGTTTCTCGGAGGGTATTAATAATGTCAGATGATCCATAGGTTGACCGTCGGTAGTGATAGTGGATCCGGCCAACTTATCAGCTGTTTCAATTCCACCGGCGCCTAATGTCCCAGAACAAATAAAGGTGACTTCATACTTCTGTAATGACTCAAACCACTGCCTTTGCACTGTGTTCTCAGTGCTGACATGAACTGGTCTTGGTTATGACTAAGACGGCATTACCTGTTTTCTGTTAACTTGTTCATGTATGACTGAGCTACCATATAACCGCTCCACCTACCATCCAAACATCTAGTTGGATTTGTCAAAAATGACCTTGGCCTATTCCTTGCGCAGAGGTTGACCAAGCCTAAAATGAGTACAAGCTAAAGTCCTAGGAAGTAAAGGCGGCCAGTATGATGCTGATATCACCCTCGAAGGTTGATTGGCCCCCAAAAAATATAAGTTTAGCATCATATGCCCAGTACCTAACTGGCATGAAAAGGGTCCTTTATTGTTTTTTTTTTTAACTTACTTTCTGTTAACAAAAGTTGGTGCTGCCTGTTCTCTGTTAACTTGGTCGACCAAATGGGAGCTTTCTTCAAAGTAGGACTGCATTTACCTGAGAGGCAAGGAACCAACAGTCTGTATAAAAATGAGTCAAATCTGTAAAACGGACATGCATGCCACACTCAGGTTCTGGAACAGGACTAGAGTCCAGAAGTGGACAGACGACCATAACTTTCTGCTGGAATTTACAGCCAGTGAAGGCGAAGAAGAAGATGAAATGAGCACCAGGAAGTGGGGGATATAAAGGCAGCCAACAAGATATTTACCACACCACATCAAAGGCTCTTTGGTCTATAAAATATTGGTCTAGCACCATATACTCAGAATGCTTAAAAGTTGAATATTGTACTTTTTTTTGTTTTTAATTGCTCTGCTCTGCTCTAATGTACTCAGCTGTACTCTATTCTACCCTGCCATTTTCTACTTTGCCTTCTCTGCTCGTCTCTGTTTTATTCCACTTCACTGTGCTCTGCCTGATATACTTTACCCTACTGTACTCTACCCTACTGTACCTTATTCTGCTCTAATCTACTCTACTCTAATCTACTCTTACTCTAATCTACTTTACTCTAGTCTACTCTAATCTACTCTGCTCTTCTCTACTCTTCTTTAAAAGGTAAAAGGTAAAGGTGAGATAATCGACGTCATTGCATGGGGTTTCATCCCATTCATTCCATATGGCTCAGCTTCTGTCCACAGAACAGCTAGGTGCCTGCAGAGTACGACCTCTGTAGCTTCGGCAATAATCTCCAGGGATCTTCGTAAAAATTGCACTCGTGAACTGAACGGCATCACCGTGAAACGAATCCACGACCTTCAGAGCAGGAGGCAAACGGCCTGACCACTTCACCACTTCTCCTCCTTTACTCTACTCTACTCTTCCGTGGACTACTCTCTATGTGCTCTGCTCTACCCTACTTTCTATTCTCAGTTCTTATGTATTATACTCTACTCTGCTCCTTCTGCTGTGCTATACTGCACTATACTGTACTCTGCAAGTGCTTTTTTTCACCCCACAGAGTCTTTCCGACCTCCAGTATTTCAAAATGGACCTGATAAAAACGGCTTCAGTTTAGGAACAAAAGCAAATTTTGCTGAGGTCTTCGGATACAGGAGATTACATTGGTGGCTGCCCATCTTCTCCAGGTAATTTTTTTTTCTCTTCATCTTCTCATTGAGTGGGTTGTGTTTTATTGTTGATTATAAAGGTTTAATTATTTGTTGTTGCATAATTTGATTATAATTATAGCTTTGGTTTTTATTTAATTGCTGCCCTGTGTTGTCCCCTCCTTTCTTATTGTTTACCTTACCCAAGCTTTTGTGGCATTCAGAACCTATGGTATATAGCACCTGCAAGTGAGTGAAAGTAAAAATGTTGAGATCATGCATCTTTTCCTTGGCAATGTATGGATGTGAGTCGTGGACCGTTACTCAGATTTTGAAGAGAAACATTAGAGCCTTTGAACTTGATGAATGCAGAAGAAGGAGGAGGAGGAGAAGAAGAAGAAAAAAGAAGAAGAAGACTAAGAAGCAGAAGAAGAAGAACTGAAATGCTGCAGAAGAATGATTAGAATACCATGGACCAAGAGAAAGAAAAATACTGGCAACCTACATGATCTGGACATCGAGGAGAATTGGCTCATAAACAGCATCCTGTAGTGAAAGCTGAGATATTTTGACCATCCACTGATTGTCCCAGTGTGAAGTTGTTTTCAGTATCACCTGTCTTTACTTCCGAGATGGCAGCACCCAAATCGTTTACCAGGCTTTACTCTGTGGGTTTGAGATGTTATGTTTTGTTAGTTTGGTCTGTTGTAAAGTATTGTGAAAATAAGATTGATATTAAGTAAAAGGGCCTTGTTTATGCCAGTAGGACATCAGGTTTTTTAATGGTTTTCTCATATTTTTAAATATGGGACATTCCCATAAGCGCTCTGTCCTCCTCTTCAGCAGCCAGTGAAGAAAAGCTCTCAGTGGCTGATGTAGTCAACATCACCCCAGCTTCCTTTACTTCCCAGGACATTACCTGGTACCCATGTTGGGCTGAGTTAACCTGGGAGTCAGGGTTAGTTTGAACAAAAAAAAATTAACATTGCAGATTTGAACTTAACTCTTTGAGTCCCAAGGAACACATCATACGTTCATAGGTTACTGCCTAGAAGCCCAGTGAACGCATAATGCGCCGATTTTATGTCTCTCTTGACTACCTCTTGGGCCTGGGATGCTAAACCCTCTGGGACTCAAAGAGTTAAGATATTCAGGCAGTCAGGTAAACATCTAGTAACTATGCTAGTGCAGTCTCCTGATTGATATTAAATTAATTGATTTAATGAAGTAAATCTTGAAACTTGCGATACACTTGTAAGGTTTCTGCATTCATATAGTATTCTAAATTAATAAGCTAAATAGGAATTTCTGGATGTATCTGGGAAATTTCTGTACATATGCCTACAAGATTATTTTTCAAGCAACAGCATGAATGATAAAATAGAGAAATTTGTGGAAAAATTCCATTAGTTTTTATGCATTCTCTACCTTAATGCTGCTTTAACAAAAAAGGTTAATGACTAATAATGGAAAACGGATTATTTCATAAGTAATGAAGTAAACAACACAATTGAGAAATGTCTGCATAATTGTTTTTGTCATGCTTTATAATGTATTCTATATATTTTTCTAAACTTCTGGAGAATTGTTTGCTTTATAACATATATATTATTCATTTTACTACTGCCAGCCCCTGATTTATAATATCACCCTGTGTTTCTTACGTAGCATTCATGATAAAAAATTTTATTTATATTACTGCTGTCCATTTCCCTACTTGGCATCCATTGAAGCAGTTTAGGGTCCAAATATTTTGTTTCTGAGAAGTTCAGTCCCAAACATGTTTAATTCATATGGTAATTAGTGTAATTGGAATGAGAAGCTATGTCACATCCATGTTTAATTAACTTGGTTTGTGCCTGAATTGTGTTTCTTGTTCCTTGATCCAATTGGGATTTATAAACAATCACTCTTTTTAGTGCTTACTCTGAAGTCTCTGCCATTCCGGGTCCAAAACCTGAAGAAGAAAGAAGGATTGTTGGGCGTAGGGCCATGTTCCGCCCACCCTGTAAAGACACTATGATATAGAGACTCATAGAAATTGATGAACATTGAATGGGAAGAAAAGTTAAGAAATAAGAAAAATGTCTGGACAGCCACTGTTATCAATAAATCAAAGAGAAGAAACAGACAATAACACACACAACTGCCTTTACTGCCTGGCCTTTATTTACAACTTTTGCGGTTGGGGTGTTTGGGGGAGGGGGGTGCGCTAAAAAAAGGGGGAGGGTTGAACCCGAGGATTTGGGGCTGTGTGGCAGGTTCTGTCATAACTGTGCAAGTTAGGATATCCTTTTGCCTTTGACAGAAGAAATTCATAACTTTACCAAGGGTTTGAACCCAGGTTTCCTGCATGGCTAGCCACTGCTTGAGTCACAGAGACACTGAAATTGGAGTGGTTAAAAAGAACTTTTGACACGTATCACTGAGATCATTATACCTATAACTTTGATTTTCAGCATACAAAATTATGACACATATACCTTTGATATTATGACACACAGTCATGAAACTCTAACACATAACTGTCAAATATTGACACATATAACTTTGCACACAGCTGTCATACTCGGGCACACAACTCTCACATTATGACACATATAGCTTTGATATTATGACACACAGCTATGATACTCTGATACAAAACTCAGATTGTGATACATATAACTTTGATATTATGACACAAAGATATGATACTCTAACACAAATCTCTTAAATTATGACATGTGTAAGTTTGCTATTGAGGCATTCATAACTTATTTATTACACCTACAACTTTAATTAATGGTACATATAAATTTCATATTATGAAACCTGTAAGTTTGATTTATGAAAAATATAACTTTCATAATAGGACACTTATAAGTTTGTTACTATGACACAATTTGATATTATGGTGCATGTATTTTTTTTTTTAATTATAACACATATATTTATTTGATATTACAACACACAGATATTTGGTTTCATGACACATATACCTTTGATATTACAACACATAAATCTTTGATTTATGACACATATACCTTTGATATTACAACACATAAGTCTTTGCTTTCATGACACATATACCTTTGAAATTACAACACATAAATCTTTTATTTATGACACATATACCTTTGATATTACAACACATAAGTCTTTGATAAATATACATATAACTTTGATATAACAACACACACATCTTTGATATTAGGACACATATATAACTGATATTATAACACATACATCTTTGATATAATGGCACATATACTTTCGATATTACAACACATAAGTCTTTGATAAAATGATACATATAACTTTGATATAGCAACACATAAATCTTTGATGACACATATAACTGATATTATAACACAACAATCTTTGATGTTATGACACATGCGAATGTTATATTGTAACACATAACATTAGTGTTATGCCATCTGTCACCTTGGTCTAATGCATGTCATCTCAGTCTTATAGCATGCCAATGATAATTTGACTTGTCATTTACTTCAGATTCTAATTTGCCACTTAATTCCGTGACAAAGGAAATGTGTCATTTTGACATATGATAGTGATCACTGTAATAATAAGACTTAGCATTTGATGTTATGATATCGCTCAGTCATGCTGTCTGAAAATTGGAAAGGGTCATGAAATTTATAAAATATCCAGAAGGTTAGAAGTTATCCTGAAAGTAAGAAAGTGTCCTAAAAGTTAGAATGTGATAGTTACAAGATATCACAATTGTTAGAAAGTATCCCAAAGGTTGGAGAGTATCCAGAAAGCGAGTAAATATTCAGAAAGTTTAAAAAAATATTGAAATGTAGAAAACACCTTGAAAGGTAAAAGTGTCATGAAAGTCAAATAGTATCATGAAAATTAGAAAGTATCCTTAGTTCGAATGTATCCTTCCTGAAAGTTAGAATGTATCCAGAAAATAGGAAAGAATCTTGAATGCTGAAACAGGTCCTTAAAATTAAAAAATATCAAAGTAAGTGTCCTGAAAGTTAAAGGGGTCCTTAAAGTAAAAACATGTCTTGACACTGGCAAGTATCCTGAAAGTAAGAAAGTGTCTAAAAAGTTATAAGTGGCTATTTCCCATGCCTTGTTGTATACTGGTGATAGCCCTATGTTTGTGTAGATCATTTGGCATGCATTGGATACTGTGGGTAATATTATGGCTGGCTGTCTGATCTTTTCAGAATGTTTCCTGTATTTATTTACCCTTTGTTGAAAATTGAATTAAGGGTCGACATCATAGCACTTGGGATATTCCCATAAGCACTCTGTCCCTATCTTCAGCAGCAAGTGAAGAGTTCCCATTCCTATGGTACCACTAACTGTCTGATTGTACATCCGTCTCGCCTTTCCCTTGAGTGGCGGCTAGATACCCTGGTAACTCCCACCGCACTATTCTCCTCAGACCCTAATGATCTATTTGTACTTCCGCACTGTTCACTTACTCCCAGTAGGCCATCACAACATCTAACTTGTCATACTTCAGGTCACTTCAGTTTGCCAAAGTTGTACAGAAACAGCCAGTTTTATATGTTTACTCATTTCTTATTCCTTGGTACCTCACCATCCCTGTTTAATGTGTTTGTATATCTACCCTTATCCATTCATCCATTCCATCGGTCTATTCCTGTATCCATCCACACCCACTTGCCTACCCACCTAAAAAACCCACCATGTCTCTGTCACTCATTCCTCTATCTCCCCTTTACTCTCCGCCCTCACCCCTTTGTCTCCCCTCTGCCCCCTCCCCTTGGTTAATCTGCAGCTGTATGTATACATACATACATACATACATACATACATACATACATACATACATACCCCCCCATACCCCTACCTACCTTACCCATCTGCATACATACATACATACATACATACATACATGGAAACAATTTGTGTGCTGTCTTCTTAATAAAGGTTGAAAGTTGGTAGTTAGGTGCTTTGCCGAAGAAAAAAAATCATCAGGTTCAACCAGCATTCCCAAAGGAGGAGTTTTAGGCTATAATTATGACTAGGTTATGCGTGCTATGTAAAAT